ATATTAGATCAGACAGATTTCTCTTTATTTATACACAATGAACCCTCCATATTTTGTGATACCCTGATTGAATACTTGAAGTTCTGTTATGACACGTGCTGCCCGTGGGAAACTTTATACAAACGGTCAGACCGTTTTTCGTCCCCCACACTTAAACGATTGCGTCGGAAGAAAGAACAAACTTTTAAGGCGAAAAAGTATTCTCTGGTGAGAGACCACTCGAAAGCAATCAAGGCTGAACTGCGGAGAGTAAACGCCGCTTATGGCATGCACTGTAGGCAAATAGAAATTGTCGGGATACATGGAAAATGATGTTTGAATTCTGCGGCCTCAAAACGAAGGAGTACCTTCCAGCTGCCAATGTGGACGATAACAATCGCCAATTCAGCAATGCTGAAACCAACACCCCTATTCTATGCACAGCAGTTGCCCCCGCTCCTAATGTTGTTAATTTAAGTACTGATCAAACTAAAGTACTCAATACCTTCATCAACCTGAAGTCTAATAAAGCATGCGGTCCTAATGGACTGCCACCTGTTGTTGGTCACAGAATGTGCATCCTCCATTTCCCCTGTTTTCACCAACCTACTCAGCCTGTGTTTTACTAAACATTGCATTTCGGACTGCTGGAGAGTGGCTTCTATCACACCAGTGCCAAAAAGGGATCCTCCAAATTTCGCCCGATTGCTTGCACTTCTGTGGGTTTGAAAGTCATGCAAAAGATTTTACTACAAAAGATGCTGCCCCAGCTGAATGCACCGGATCCCAATCAATTTGCTTACTGCAGTTCTAGGTCAACCATTGATACGTTGGCATCCCTCATTCATCATGTCTCTTCCTCCTTGGACAGGAAATGTAAAGCTGTTCGGGTATGTTTCTTTGATTATAGTGATGCCTTTGTGTTGATAGGTCCAAACTTCTTCACACTCTTTCTGAGAAAGGCATTCAGCCGGAGTTGTTCATCCTGTTAAGTAATTATTTCACCCATTAATCACAGTTTAACAAATATAAAGGTCGTAACTCTTCCCTTTTACCCTCCACTGAAGTAGTTATTCAAGGCGCTGTTCTCTCTCCCTTCTTGTTCACAACTTATATTTCTTCAATGCCTGCTTTTGATGATTGTCTGCTAATTAAGTATGCCGATTATGTTGTGCATGGCATGATGTTTTCGAATTCCTCCGTGTACCCCAAACTTATGCAGAATATTTCACTGCTCACCGACTGGTCTTCACAACACAATCTTAGAATAAATCCTTCCAAGTGTAATGATGTTTTATTTTCTTTGCTGAAGGGTGATCAATATATTGACGTGATGAACTCTTGTCAGCATGTCATTATCAACGGTGAAGGAGTTTCCAGAGCCTGCTCCGTCAAATATCTTAGGGTTAGCATTTTCCGCAATCTTTCTTGGTCTCCTCATGTCGTCGAGACATTTCACAAAGTCAGGAAAATCACCTTTTACATTATTCGTTTCAAGATGCTGTCTACCCCAACTCACTTGATAAAGCGTTTTGTTTTATCCTATATCCTTCCTCACTGGCTTTATGCATCCCCCGTTATTTTTCCGGGTCTTGTAATCAAACTCATACAAACATCAATCAAACACGTATGTTGATACAGTGACATATCCTTGGAGTATGTTGTGCAGTTTATTATTTCACAGCACCTTAAGGCACGCCAGAAAGTTTCTACCAGAATACTACTTGACCCATCTCACCCAATGTACCCTCATCTTAGTCAATGTACCTCAAAATCTAGCACTCGTTCCATGTAAAAACATGTAGCAGCACGCACTGTACGTCAACCAATTCGCACTTGAGTGACGCGTAGCCGAACCGATACGAATC